TCATTTGACCATTTCAGTACGTATTTGAATATACAAGGAAAAGTTATTGATCCAGAATTAGCTGCTCAAAATTTTCATCATTCAGGAGAAGCCTTTTGTAAAATTTAGCATTGTGATTTAATTTTTAGAAAGAAGGTCGATGCTTGTTATGTTGATATACTCACGAATCTATTTGAGCACATACAATTTGAGAGAATGGAAAGAGAAAAGGTTGAAAAATTAAAAAGAAGAGAAAAAGAATAAAAAAAATCAAATGATATAAAAAAAGAAATAACACATACCTATTCTGAATGTTTTGTTCTATGGTTTTAGATCAAAACTCACTGTAATTTGTGCATCTATTCTCTTAATATTAAACGATGCACAAATGCCAATTATTATAAACCACCTAAAGTTAAAGAAGCCATAGATTTTCTTTACCTGTATAATGGTTTCTTACCACCAATTACTAAAGCTAAAGATGGCTAATTCACAAACCTGATTCATCTTCTTCAGTATCAGGTTATGATGCACATTATACATCTATTGAAAAAAATACATACTTATGACTTTGCTGTCCTATTTATTAGAAATATTTTCTGACTCTCACATTTTTAATGAATTATAAATGATTAATGCATCCTACTACCTGAGAATGATCTAAAAGGTAACAAAATTCAGCTTTCAACAATTTTTCTCTTCTTTCATCTTAACAAAAGAGATCGTATGATGAAATGGAACTTGAATCAAGAGCTTATAACTCAGATAAAGAATAAGTAAGTTTTATAAAAAAAGTATTTAAATGTATACGTATTGCAATAAATTTAAATATATGTGTGTTGCTATATTGCTATATCAGTCTATAATAAATATATGCTTAACAAGCACTTTATCAAATGATCATCATGTGATCAATATTAACATCATGTGATTATTATATTATATGTAACCTAAGATCTACTTTATCTCTCCCATCCCTTAAGATATTAGGTAATATCTGACAGTGCCCTTACTTTACATTACAAAAAAAATATAATAAAGATTTTACTTCTAATTTTTTAAATGTGTGTGTTTATTTATATATATGTTCTCAAATATCAATTTTGCATTTGCTTATCAATGAGAAATAATTTGCTTATATTTGATTTATAATGAAAAAATTAAATGTCAAAAGAGAGTTAAGAAATAACTTGATACTAAAATTGGCTTAAGATTTTACATACTTACTTTCTCTTTAATAGCATCATACATTTCATTTGCTTTCTTAGCAAATTTTTCACTTTATCTGAAAATAACTAACACTTATATGCCAATTTTTTCAGTGCTCACTTTATTATTTAAAGAGTTAAATGCGAGCAGTAATCTCAATTTTGAGGTAATACTAAATGATACGTAATCTGTATAAATAAGTGTGTGATCATTTGATTTAATATATCAGTTTTTGCGGTAAGACAGAAACTTGTGGTATAGGGTCGACCAACTGTATAGTATATAACATAAAAATAAATAGTGTATGATATATAATATACAGTTCAAATATTAATTATATATATATATTAAATATTCAAACTGTGTGATGTATATTATTATAGTGTATATTTTTTTATTTAATATATAATTGCTTTTTATTAGTATTATAATGCAAAATTTTAAAATTAATTGAAAAATTTTTTTTATATAATGCTAAAATTTGTACTGAAATATATAAATTCTTTTACAAAAAAAAAATAAAAAATACTAAAATTTACATATTGTGAAGCAAATAAATGCGTAAATCTATTATTAACTTAGGATTATTTTTATTGTTATATGATAATTTAATTTTTTATATTATAACTATAATTTATATTTATAAATGCTTTATTTATTAAATTTTCTTTTACATGTTTATAGCATTTAACAAATGAATATTTATCAAATTTAATTTTTCAAGATTTAACAAATTCTAACTCACGCTTCTTCTCAAAATTTGATAGTTCCATTAAATAGATTTTAGCCTTCATTCTTTTAAATCAATTTCACGCTCTTTTAAAACCAAAATCCTTTATATTTAAGTTCACTAATTCTTGAAGTTAACTCATTCTCCTTATCGTCATTTTCAGTATCAGAATTAACTATAATGCTTTTTCTAGGCTTTTTCTTTGCACTTTGCACTTTGTTTATGACTAATAGGAATTTTGTTTTCAGTATCAGAGTTATTTACATTCTCTTTTTAGATTCTTTCTTACTAATAGATCATAATTTATATTTTATAGAAATTGATTTCGTCTGTACATTAACTATATAAATAATAAATATTTAAATTATTAATGTAAATATAAATATAATATAAAAATAACATCAGTACTATGTATTTTCATAATATCTTAATTTACCTTAACATTTATTAGATAGAATATTATAAGCAATTAGATCTTTATCTCATCCTCAAGTAAATATATTGTATTTTTGATGAACACAAATTGCATTGAATCTTTTTCTATCTAATTTTCTTTCTCTATGTATATTAATAAATTAATAAATTTAGAATTTACATAAAAAATTAAAATTTTTTTTAATATATTGCATTAATACATATTGTAAAATAGCTATTATTAATTTGAGATTTTTTCATAACGGTTGCTTAAGATATGGGTTGCTTTAGCAGTATTAGTATAATTAGGAGATGTTAACCAAATATTATTGTCAATCTTTAACATATATTTATTAAGTGATGTGATAATCCACTTTTAATGATAAAAAGAAATCCAATCTAATAAATATAAGAATAATAATTTATAAAATATTTTTTATTAAATAAACTAAAAAATTTGCTACTAACCAGTAGTATTTTTATCAATATTTTAAATATTATCAAATAAATAATTGATTGTATCCTCTGATTCAGCTGTTAGAATTGCATATATATTATTTTTTACAGTATCATTATATGGTTTTTTTCTAATTTTCCTATTATTAAAATATAAAAATAAAATTCATTAAATTATTTTATTAAATTAAAAACATTAATTTTATTTATTTATCTTTTATAATATACTTTACAGGATTTAAAAAAATGAACTAAATGTTTTTCTTAATTTCTTATTTTATTTATTTTATTTAAAACTAATTCTAGACCTTATGCTTACGTATAATCCAGATCTGCAATAACACAGCCTCAATCTTTTTTATAAATATGTTTAAATTGAGATGCTGAACTTGTTAATTCAAATAAAGCATAAAAATCCTCTGATATACAACTATTATTGCACAATTAGTAAATACACAGGCAAAAGTAAGAACTAAAATATAAAATTATCAAGTTAGTTAGCATTTAAAACTATAATTTATAAAACTAAAATATAAAAACTAATATTATAAGATTTTTTATACTAATAAATTTTGTAATAAGTAAAATAAATCATACTTAGATTATGTTGAGTATTATAATAATTAACCTCAAATTTGTTAATTTCACCTGCAACACGTTTAAAAGAAAGATCTATTTAAAAGTGTTCACACTTTATCTATTCAGATAATTATTTAGGTGTAGTACAGATAATCATCATATAATTATCTTCAAAAAATTCTAGTAAAAAATATTGATACATTAATAATTAATCAATATTATAAAGAATGTAATTATATATATTATATATATTTACCTAAATGCTTTATATATTCACAAAAATTATCAATATTACATGAATAATTATATATAACTTCTAAAAGATCATAACTTTGTGGATGGATTTCTTTTAAAATTTATCTACATAATATTGAAAATGATCTGCATTATTTAGAGAAGCATGAATATCTGCAAGATATTCAGTTTCAAAATAAGTTTAATTAATTTCCTAAAAATATAAAATTAAAATTTAATTGTCATTATATATTATAAATATTTGTACTAACTTTAAAAATTGTATTTATATCATCAATTATCAGTTAATATATAAGTTGGTATAATATTTATAGTATTAATATCTGCTTATTGAATTAGTTTTTGTAAACAAATATTAGTATAAAGTTGAGCGGTGATGATAGATGAAAATAAACATTTTGAGATATCAAAATTACAAATGAGCATTTTTCTAAATTAATAGAAATTAATTTAAAAAATTTAACATTATAAGATTTTTGAATAATTGATTCACATTTAATAGTATTTCTCACACGATGAGAATGAGCTATTAAAAAAATAAAATTATATATAAATAATTAATTAATAACTTTAAAAGAGTGATAACTAGTAACTGAATTTAATAATAACTTACGACAAAGTTTTTTTTTAGAGGTATTACTTAATACTATAAAACAGTTATTTACTAGTTTGTCTATTTTACCCTAAAATAAATTATATTTTAACTGAAGTTAATAAATTTATAAAGTACAAAATATATTAGAAAGATAAAAATTAAATCTCATATAATCCATTTAAAAGTTGTTGAAATAAATTAAGGTTAACATTTTTTTTAATACTTATATACTGGTAAAACTTTTCATTAAAATTTTATCTATCACAACTAATAAAATAAGATAGTGGTATTGTTTTATCATGATGCTTTAGACATTTTAATACAGACCTTTTAGTGCATTTTATGTTATCCTTTTTATAGCGACATTCAGTTTGAATTGCTAATAAATATATACTAAATAAAAATTTTAGCTAGTTAAATGTATTAATGTAATATAAGTTACACAATTTTAAATTAATTTAAAATATATATTTATGTAAAAGTATTATTTTCTATATTATTACTTGATAACTCTTCATTTACTTTTAGGCATAATCAGAATCAGAATCTACAGACTTGTGTTTTATTTTCTGAAGTTCTGGACTTACAAATTCACATATTTTAAGTCAATAACATGTTCTATTTTTTTTATTTACAGTAATATTATCAAGATAACTACAGGTTATCAAATTTTATCTAGAAGGTTAACCTATAGGATACTGAATCTTAAAAAAAATAAATATTAATAATAATCATTTAAAATTATATTATTTTATTTAATACTTACATCTGCAAATATTGCGTTCACCCTTCAACATGATAAACTATTGCAACTCCATCTTTGCTTGTTGGTGGATATTCAATAGGAGTTAATGAATGCAATACAGTTTTAATAATTATTTGTTTTGTAATATATATTTCAGTATCTTCCTCCAAATCAAGCGTTATATTATTTAACTAAATCAACTAATATGTATTAGTTATTCTATATAATCACTGTAAAATAACTTTTTTATCTCTTAGGGACTAACGCCTGTGATGAAAAATTTTAGTTTATTAATAATTTATTTTATTTAGCTATAAAAAGTTTATTTCATTATAAAACATTTATTTTGCTATAAAATTCCTATACTTTCTTTCTTTCTTTTTTTACTTCTCTTTTGAAAACAAAAAATTAAAATGCCTCAAAAATGTATCAATAAAGAATAAAGACTTCACAAAACTTTTAACTCTGTCTTCACTAATGCAAGTACTTTCTATCATTCTCAAAAGATATCAAAGATTATAATTTTTATTCAAAATATTTTGAATTCTTCTTCCTCTTCACAAATATCTGAAATTCAAGAAAAGCTTAATTTTTATCATCAAAAAGCTATGATACCTAATACTGAAAAATCAACTTGAAATTGGATTGCTAAATTTGAAGAATTTCGCAAAAGTTGCAATTATACTACATCATTTGAGAAGATTACAGATTCTAAATTGATTAAATAACAAGTTTGTAAATATATTGCACAAATGACTAAAAAAAACATCTGGTGAATATAAAGCAATTTCAGTAAAACAAGCTGTTGATGCTATTAATTATCATTTGGTAAAAGTTTCTCCAATACGCAGAATTAATTTACATAATAAATATGAGTTTTTAGATTTATTTAATTTTACATGACAAAATGAAAGATTTGCAAGAAAAAGGATTTAGTGAAAAGAGGAATCAATGGCGTTAACTGCACAGCAAGTTCAAGAAATTCTTGCTAATGACTTTCTTAATCCTAACACCTAGAGTTCTAAATGAGTCAAGTCGAGTCGAGTTTAAAGATCAACTCTATTTGACTCATTTTTTTTGAGTCAAGTTGAGTCAAATTTATTTTATAAAATCTTTCAACTCGACTTGATTTGAGTTATATAAATTTTAAACTCGATTCAATTTGACTTAACTCGAGTTTAACTCAATTCAATTTTGACTTGAATTTATTTGAGTTAAGTTAAGTTCAAATCAAATTTCAAGTCAAATTTAAATTAACTTATAAA